TTTTTAAATATAAAATTTATATGTAAATTTATATGAATAATAATTAAATACCAGAAGAGTTACATTTGATCAATTTAGTGTATCAAAAAAGTGTTTAATAAAGCGAGGAAGCAAGATGGAGAGAACGAGGTTTAGAGCGAGAGGAGCAGCGAGAAGGGAAGCTAGCGGCACCAGACAACGGCAAGGGCACAGGCGTTGGATTCCAAGATTGGATCACAAGATTTTGGGGCAAGCTACGACTTTCTTCATTTATAATTTCCCAAAAAACTTGGAGGTGAAAGAATTATGGTACAGGTTTCAGATGTATGGAAAAGTGATAGATGTTTTTGTGCCAAAGAAGCGCGACAAGTGGGGAAAGAGGTTTGGCTTTCTGCATCTACTAGGAGTACATAATGAAAGTCAAATGGTTAGGAGGCTGAATGAAATCTGGATAGACTCATACAAGTTGAGAGTAAAGACAGCAGAGGATAGAAGTAAAGAGAGAGTAAAAGGCACAGTTACAAGGGGTAAAACACAGCACATAGTTGATAGATTGGTAAAACCAGGACAGTCATACACTCAGGTGGTAAAGGGGAAGGAACAGAGGACACAAAGCTTACCGGCTTCTGTAAAAATACTGGGAGGAGATGACAGGGTTTCTACTCATCTGAAGAAAGGAACAATCTAGACGAGGCAACAGAACGAGAAGGAGGAAGTGGCATCCTATCAAATACTAAAGGCCAAAAGAAGTATAGAGAAGGATAGGGACGCTGAGTCTCAAGAGGAAAGTATGGAATTCACACCAACACAGGATGAGCTAAAGTGGCTTGAAGGGGGTATGGTGGCCATCCTGAAATCCTTACCATTAATAAACGATATTCAATAGAGAATTGATGTGGATGGTGGGTTGATTACTGTATCACCAATAGGCAGAAGAAGAGTGTTGCTAACGGAAAAAGAACCAGGGTATTTGATTGAGTTTATGAATCTCAACAAAGAGTTGTTTGATTTGTGGTTTGTAGACATTAAACCATGGGACAAGGAAGTTCAGGAACGAAGCAGATTAGTATGGCTTCGTATATCTGGGATTCCATTGAAGGCATGGATTGACAGATGCTTTAAAATGATCGGAGAATCAATGGGCGAGGTCATGATGATTCATGGTGACACAAAGACGAAGTCAATCTTGTGTGAGGGGAGAATATTAGTTATATGTTCTGCAGAGCATAAGATCGTTAAACAAGTCTCACTGAAGGTGGAAGAACAGATGTATGAAACACAGGTGATTGAGGAAGAATGGCGCTCCGACCCAGACTGGTGGCTCTCAAATGATGACCAGCAAAGTGAGTCGGCAACGGAATTGTAGTATTCATCCGAGCAAAATGAGGAAGATCAAGATTTCGGTAATGCAGAGATTTGCGCAGAAGATGACGTGAGCATGGATGAGGAGCATTCAATGCATGACAATCTTCTGAATTCAAATTTTAAAAGTTCAGAGGAAGGAAAGGCGAGTTGGCATGCAGAAGAAGGGGATGCGGACATAGAAGACGGTGCTAGTGGGCCGTCCAAGACAAATGGGCCGCTGGAGGGTAAGGAAATTGGACTAAGGAGCAAGAGTGGGCTTAGAGGGGACTTTAGACAAGAAGAAATAAAGAGAAGTAAAAAGAAAGGGCCCAAGGAGGCTTTTGAAAGAGAGCCACCCATTCACTGAGAACTTGCAATTAGGGATTCGGGGAGGATGCGGAGAAGACAAATAGAAGACTGCTACCCAGAGAGCTTTGTGGAAATCCGAGCAAAAGAGACACACGGGGAAATTTCAAAAACAAAGCAGCGACAGCAACAAAGAGCAGGAACTCAAACGAGTACAGTGAGCAAGGTAAATCCTGTTGTTAGTGCTTCCCTTTCTGATGGGTGTATAGCAAATAGAAATAGGTTGATTCATAGAGAGATGGCCTTGCATGAGGTGAGGACGATGATGAGCATGGGTAAGAGATTGGGCATTCAAATTCAAAATAATGAGGAGGAAGTGCAGTCCCGATTGCTGGAATTGGAGATGAGGGAGGCTGCAGGGGAGTGATAGAGGAAGTGGGGTAAAGGGTTAGGTAGTAACGAACGGGTGTGTGGGATTTTTTTTTATTAATGAAGTTGGTGTCCTTTAATGTTAGAGGCTTGGGTAGTGTATTGAAGAGAAAGGTAGTGGGTAAATAGTGAGAATAAAACAACCGGATTTCCTATTTTTGCAAGAGACTAAGCTAGAAACAGGGGATGATGATTTATGCAGAACGATGTGGAATTCAAATGAGATTGACTGGGTGATGAAGGAATCGATAGGAGCTTCGGGTGGCTTGTTATGTATCTGGAATAAGAAGAATTTTGCTAAGACAAAAGATTTTACGGGTGATGGTTATTTGAGAATAACAGGGGAGTGGGGACTAGATAAGGTGAAATGTAATCTAGTGCAATTGTATTGAATTCAAGAACAACTGATTGGGGACCAAAGCCATTTCGAGTTCTGGATGCATGGCAGCTTCATCCAAATTTCAAGAAGGTAATTGAAGAAAAGTGGAGCAAAATGGAAGTTGATGGATTTGCAGGATATAAATGTAAACAGAAGTTAAAAGGGCTAAAAGCATTTTTAAAATGTTGGAATAAGGAGGTGTTTGGAAATATGGAAGCTAGTATGAACAAGCTATCAAACAGGTAGAGCAAATTGATATGAAGAATGAAGAGATTGATCTGGACGAATTCAAGATTATTCAAAGACAGGAAGGTTTTCAGAAAATGTGGGATATCATGAGGAGGAGAGAAGTGATATGGAAACAGAAATCAAGAAGCAACTGGGTGCATGTGGGAGATGCAAACATGCGATTCTTTCATAGAGTAGCAAATGGTAGAAAGGCCCAAAATCATATCACAGGCTTATTGCGTGATGGTTGTTGGGTGGAAGAACTAGAACAGGTTAAGAAGGAGGTGTATAATTATTTTAGCAAGTTATTTCAAGGAGACACATGGAATAGACCAAAGCCTTGTGGGGTTAGCTTCAAACAGATTTCTGCAGAGGAAAAACAATGGCTTGAACGACCATTCTCCATTGAAGAAATTGAGGAAGGGTTACGAAGCTATGAAGGATCTAAAGCTCCGGGACCGGACGAGTACAATTTTAATTTTCTTAAATTTGCTTGGGATAGTTTAAAGGAAGATTTTATGAGTTTCTTTGCAGAGTTTCACAAGAATGGTAGATTAGTTAGTGGGCTGAATTCATCTTTCTTAACTCTAATTCCTAAGAAGTTTAATTCTATGGAATTAAAGGATTATAGACCTATTAGCTTGATCGGGTGTGTTTATAAACTGTTAACAAAAGTGTTGGCCAGTAGAATTAAGGCCGTGATGCCGAGGATTATCAGTGAAACTCAATCTGCTTTCTTGAGAGGACGTCAATTAGTTGATGGAGTATTAGTGTTGAATGAGGTTGTGGAGGAAGTTAAGAGAAGGAAGCAGTTGGCTTTTGTTTTCAAGGCTAATTTCGCGAAGGCATATGATTGTGTGGATTGGTCATTTTTGGAATGGATGATGGATCGCTTGGGTTTTGGAATCAAATGGAGAGGTTGGATTATGGAATGCTTGTCGACTTCTAAGATTTCAGTTTTAGTTAATGGAAGCCCGACGGAGGAGTTCAAGGTTGGAAAGGGATTACGACAAGGGGATCCTTTATCCCCATTCTTATTCTTGATGATTGGAGAGGGATTAAATGGATTGGTTCAGAAAGTAGTGTTGGAGGGTATGTTTTGAGGTATAGAGATTGGCAGGAAGGGGTTAGCAGTTTCTCTACTTCAATTCGCGGATGACACAGCCATTATGGGAAAGGCTGACATAGAGAATATAATCATGGTTAAAACAATTCAGCAATGGTTTGAACTGATGTCTGGTCTACAAATTAATTTCAGCAAGAGCAACATTTATGGATATAATGTTCCAACGAGATGGGTTGAAGGATCAGCAAGTATGTTGCGGTGTGGAGTCGGAAAATCATCTTTTATTTATCTGGGAATGCCTGTTGATGGAAATCCAAGGAATAAGAAACTATGGGAACTGGTGATAAAAAAATTTCGTGCTAAACTTGCTGTCTGGAAAGCTACTTTGCTGTCCTTCGGTGGCCGCCTCACTCTGCTTAACTCGGTACTTTCTGCTCTACCCATTTTTTATATGTCATTGTTTTTAATGCCAAATTCTGTGGTAACTGAGTTAATTCGTATTCAAAGAACTTTTTTATGGGGAGGGGGGGAGTTAAAAAAGAAGATTTCATGGGTGAAATGGGAACATGTGTGTCGCAGTAGGGTAAAAGGGGGCTTGGGGGTGCAAAATTTGCGTAGGAAAAATTGGGCACTATTGGGGAAATGGTGGCATAGATTTGGGGATGGGGTAGAGAGCCTGTGGAAAAGGGTACTAACAGAAAAATATTACGAGGGCAAATGGAAGGAGGTGGATATTAAGGCTATTGGGAATTGGAGAGTATCTAAGCTTTGGAGAGATATTATTAGTATAGGGGGGCGGTCGATTAGACTACAGAGTATGTTGGTAGAGGGGTTTAGATGGGAAGTCGGTGAAGGAAATTGAGTGGGTTTTTGGAGAGAGTGGTGGATAGGGGAAAAAAATTTAAGGGATCTATACCCAAGGCTGTATGCACTGTCTATGAATAAGGAGGGTAATATTTGTGAAATGGGGGTATGGGAAGGGGATAAATGGAGTTGGAAACTGGAATGGAGGAGGGGGAGAATAGGATGAGAGAAGGATGAGGAGGAGGTGTTGTGGGAGAAGTTGGGTACTTTGCAATTAAAGAAGGGTGTTGAAGATTGTTGGAGGTGGCTACATGATTCAGATGGTAGTTATATGGTGAAGAAGGCTTATGAATTTTTGACCCCTTCAGAGGGTATCTTAGAGGAACAGTTGTGTAAGGTTATTTGGTGCAAATTAGTACCATCCAAAGTGTCTTTCTTTGGATTGCTTTTATGTCTTGATAGGCTACCAACTAAGTGGAACATTAGAAAGCGAGGGGTGCATTTACAGGAAGAGGAATTAATGTGTGTTTTGTCCCATAACATGATTGAGGAGGCTAACCATTTATTTAGTATGTGTAAGGAAGCATGGATTTTGTGGACAGAGGTGTTGCAGTGGTGGAACATGAAGACGGTAATGCCAAATATCATACGAGGAGTGGCAGACATCTTTGTATACGATTTGGGTAGGGTAGTAGGGAAGGAGATGGGTGCTTGTATCTTTCTTGTTGTATCATGGTATTTATGGTATTGGAGAAATGGTAAGGTATTTGTTAATGAAGCTATCATCAAGGGAAGATTACTAGATATGATTCAAGCCATATCATTTTTATGGATCAAGAATAAGGTAAATGGTTGTGCCTTTTCATTTAATGAGTGGAAGGTTAACCCTGTAACGTGTGCTCTGTCAATGAGAAGCCACAAACAAGCAATGAAATTGTTTCATAAACAACAAAAAGAAGGCTACACTGCAGAACATAGTGCAAGTTGAAATTTGTTTGGTGCATGAAGGCTTCATTGAGCAGGTATTTTACTGTAGCGTGTTAGTTAAGCCGTAGTAAATACATGCTCAATGATTTTGCGTGTCAGTGGATTTGAAAAGTGGAAGTTTTTTTGATGATCAGAACAGGGAGTTATGTAGAAACTGTAAAGGAGGACATAAATTCGACATGGGTATAGTGTCGACACTTTATGTGGGTGTCGACACTATTGGGCAGGGTTAGTCCACTCTTGTATATTAATGTCTCTCAACTATTTATGTTTAAGGGTTTGGGGTACCCCTTGTACTCTGTTTATCAATAAATATTATTATTTGCTGTTCAAAAAAAAAAAAAAAAGAGTTACATTTGATCCAGCGGCCAAAGCCACAATTTTGAACTTTACTGGATTCTTTCTTAATATCTTGATTGTCTGCAAAATGCCAAATTATGATTCTTACGAGATCATGAAGAGCCAGAACTGGAATACCGCCAAAGTTTAATTGCATAAATTTATGTACAACACAAAGATTAGTTTTTTTCTTTTCTTGTAACCTGAGTTCCAATGGAGCTGGTGGAACCAACAATTGAAATAGGCTTGGGACCATCCCAAGTCTGCTGAGCCTGAACTGTGCACTGGATTCTAGTACCAAATGTGGTGCTGCAATCCTTCCTCTTAAAAGTGAACTCTGTTGGATAAAAGTGGACTTAGGAGGATTTTACAGAGGAAGAGAAGAAGGTTTCGAGACAATGTTTCTACGAATTCGCTTGATTGAAAATGAGAACTTACATAGGTATTTATATATAGGTAAATAATAAACACTGGCTCTTGCCCCCAAATTAACCCCTATACATAAATCTCATTCTCCTAGGTACGTTATTAAAGATTATTCCTGCCAAATACATGAACTGAGTATTAAAGGGATGTTTATCCTTGCAACAAACTCTCCTAAAATTCACAAAGCAACAGACTTCAAAATTAAATAAGAAGTTGCCCATCTCTAGCAAATTCTAACACAGATTGGAAAACCAGATCTCATCAACTGATTTGGAAGGTTAAAGGCTGAATTCCACTTACGTTTTATAGATAAGAAAACCAATATATATATATATATATATATATCTGTACTCCAAAGGTTTGGATTCAGGTCTCAAAGAGAAGGAAATGAACAAAGAGACGAAATTATTCTCGTACAATTCAGAGAAAATGTGAGAAGAAAACGATGGAAAAAGAAATAATGAGGTTTATGCAATAGCTTCCTGTTATCCAGACAAATGGCCGACGAATTTTCACTCCGCAAATGATCGATCAACTTGTTGGTAGTTACCGGAGTAAAATGATGTTACTTGTTGGTGCAAATGGAGTTGCTTAAACTTCAATGTTTTAATTCGAAAACCTGATTATTTTGCAAGTCGGATCCCCAGGAACCGCGTGTTTTGGAAGTTGGAAAACAACTTCCAGCGATTCAATCCGGTAGTCATTTTCCGAAAGTTGCCTATTGCTTTTCCGTTCACTACACTTAATTTCCATGGACTTATTTTTCAGAAAGCTACAAAATATTGGAAAATACAGAGAATGTTAATTTTCTAAAAATAGCTCTCTGTGGACCAAACGGACCCTAAATTTTCAGTCTTTGTTGCTTTCTTCTAGTGCTGAATGGAAGACTCCCATTTCTGGTCTGTGTAGTGATCAGAGATGCTTCACAACTCTGGTGAACTCTGCTATCTTGAGTTTCGCAAGGAGGTTGAGAATAGCTCTTGGTTCATTCAAGAGAATCCTCTACCTACACACAGAAGCTGACCATCCTATATTTCATCGGGATATCAAGGCCAGCAACATATTATTGGATTCTAAATTTGTTGCAAAGGTTGCTGATTTTGGACTTTCACGACTTGCTTCGGTGCCAGATATTGAAGGTGTAGTGCGTGCTTCTGTGTCTATTGTTGTAAAAGGGACTCCAGTAAGTGTTTTACTTGAATGAAATTAAATTAGAAGCTTATATATATATATATAATATCTGCAATAAAAGAGATGGAATTTAAATGCTATATTTACTAATATATGACAATCAGCATTGGTTCACGACTATATATTGCTAGTATGGTATTTCATTATTTGAATATTTTGTACGTAAAATGTAGGGTTACCTTGATCTAAAGTATTTCTTGACGCATAAGTTAACAGACAAGAGTGATGTATATAGTCTTGGTGTTGTGTTTCTAGAGCTTTTCATCTTCTCCTCTTTTGCTTGAAATTAATTGTCTTTCATCACTTTTAGACCAACTGAACATTTGTACTCTCGCTGTCTCTCTCTCTCACACACACACACGGTTAACATTACGTATCAATCTGGTACAATATTCTCGATTATTGATGGAAGAATGGGTTCATATCCTTTTGCATGTGTGGAGAAGTTTGTGAATTTGGCCATGAAATGTTGCCAAGACAAGACAGATTCAAGACCTTCGATAGTGGAGGTGGTCCAAACTCTAGAAATTATAGGGCTGATGATGCCAAGGTACTTTGACCCCTTGCTAGTAGAATCCATGAAAGGTGACCCAGAAAAGACATCAACTGCTCCACCTTTGTCATCCTCTAAGGTGAAGAATCTGTACACATCCTTATATGTTTCTGGTAGTGACCTTGTTAGTGGAGCGACTCCCACCATCACGCCTAAATAAGATAAGACCATACAACACAAACTGCTCTCGCTCTGATAAGTCTTTGACTCTGACTGTTGTTGTATGCTTGTATTGGTTCCCTTGTTTCTGCTGTTCCATAGTTTTTTACACCATCAGGCTACATCATTTATCACTAGCATAAAATACAGAAATGCCTTTTGTATGATTAAGAAATTTAATTTGGAAGCATTCATACGTAGCTGTAGTTTTTAGTTTTTTTTAATATTTTAATTTAAAATATATAAAATATTAATTAAAATATTAAACATATTTTATATTTTTTAAAATGATAAAAATATATAAAAATTAAAATACTAAAATACTAAAAAATATTGTCAAATGAAATTATACATAGGTACATACATAGGTTCCACAGCCCACTTCTTTCTTTATTTAAGTTGAATTGTAATGGGTTAGCATATACCAGTTGATTCCATATGGTATATACATTGAATTATAAGTTTAGTGACGTGATAACTGATGATCTAATTTTTGAGTTGAGTGAAGTTAGGAAAATGGGTGAGCTATTATTTATATAATTTATTATTAAATACAAAAAAAAAATGAAAGGTTAAAATAATTATAACAAAAAATAAATATATGAAAGACTAAAAATAATATATATATATATATTAAATTCAACAATTGGTTTTTGTAAAATTCATTAAAAAATGATGTTTTATAAATTAATATTTTAATTTTTTATGGTAATCAAGATTGTATATACTTTTTTTCTAAAAGAAAATAGTGCATATAAGTTTGATTCTATTTTAAAATTTAGAATTTTAATATTAAAAACACTACATTTTAATAAATATTTTTAAAAATTAATATTAAATTTAATATTTTAATTATATAAATCATGTATATTAATTTTAAAATTGATCTAATATCTATAAGTCTATAAATATTTAATTAAAAAATTATATTTTCTAACACATATTTAAAGTCTTAAATTTTATATAATCAATGAACTAATTTCATATATTTAGTTAATCTCAAAATTAACACATATAATTTACATAAATAAAATGCTAAATTTAATTGCCAATTTTTAAAAATATTCATTAAATTATAATATTTTTAAGATTAAAATTTTAGTTTTTTATAATAATTAAATTGATATGTATTATTTTCATATATAAATTAAATTTTCACATAAAAAAAATTTTTTTTTTTTAGCCGTTGCTCTTGCATTTTAGAAACTACCCAATTTGGTGTTAGAAAAAACAAAAATACTCTTAAATGAACCAATCAAGGATGCTTGAAAATTCATTATTCTTACACGTCCAAGTTCTCAAAAGAAGAGGAAAAAAAAAAGTCTAAAGAGGGGTGGTTCTTAGCTGAACAAGGTAAATATTAGGCAAACACAAGGGCGCGCGCAGACACACACACACACGTAGGAATGCCTAAACACGCGTGTCAACCGGTCTGACAGCGTTTCCAACGTAGCTATTAAGCAAAGGGCATGCTCTTTACCTCTCCAATACATTTCCTAGCGTTTTGGCCGCCGATTTCTGCACAGATCGCCATGGGTCGAAGTAAGTTTCATGTAGAATTGTCTATCTGTATTCATTTCGTTTCTGAAATTTTATAGACATAAATAAGAAATTATGCTTCTGCTTTATCGTCCACAATGTCAGATCCATCTTTGCGGACTAATTTTGCTTTCTTTCAAACTGATTTCTATTGTTTGTGTGTGAATTATTGTATGGTGGTTTATTATTCCAGCTTATATGATTTATGTCCTGCTATTTCATTCATTATTATTTATCTTAATTAGTTTTTTTTTTTTAAAAAAAAAAATCCATCTTTGATCCTCTTTTATCTTTTCACCTATTGTCTACATACAACCGACACAAGGATATAACATGATGTCAAGGGAGATTCTTATGTAATAATTTTCAATACATAAATTTAACACTATTAAATTCTAAACATCATATTTAAATAATTAAATAATAAGATCACATACTGTTGTTAGAAGTCATTAATCTATATATCTTCAAAAGAAACAAACAGAAAGAGTTAAAAAATTAAATCTTCCTCTCTCTATTCAACTTTTGTATAGTGACAACTAATAGATTATGTAACTCTTTAATTATACTATTTATAGAGATATGGTTTTCTAAACAAGAGAGGAGAGCACCCCATCAAGTAGCTCATCTTTTAATTTCAGGCTCTATATCTATTCATATCACACTATATAAAACTGAAAAAAAATCTAGATTTATTTGGATCACATAATTTTATTGGAATTTACCAGTTTTTCCATTTAACCCATTTAAAAAAAAAATTAAAATACAATTATCAGAAGTCCACATAAAATTTCCAACATCTTATTATAAAATTAACCACGAAGAAGACTAGCTGAAAGGAACTAGGAACCTAAGCAAAGAAACTAATTCAACGAGGGCCTGTAATTCTAAATAAACAGCCAAAGGCCAAAAGGAAAATGAAAAGAGAACAAAATAGAACGATAACAACCTTAAAGAAGAGATGCCAAATGAAATAAATATGCAGGCTTACTCTAACGCAATGCATGAGAACATGTTATTTCAAATAAGTAAATAATCCAAACATTAATTTAAAACAGGAGCAAGTTTATATATATGTATATTTTTTAACGGTTAGTTGAAAATCCATGACATAACAGGTCTCAAATAGCCTAAGCTAAGCAAAATTAAATTGAGATGAGAAGAACCCCAATGGTAAAGAATGACGCTTGGAGTCAAATAGAAAAGATTATGAACGAAACCATATTGCTGCAAAGGATTTCATGACTAAAGTTTAGAAAGGCAACAAAAAAATAGAACACCATCAAACAAGTCATTTTCAAGGACTAAAGAGAAGAATCCTATAAAGAAAAACCGCACCAAATAAAACGCATAAAACATGCCACAAGTTCTAAAGCATCTATTATTGGAAAACAAAATACAGCAAGGTTCCCAAGTCTAGGAAACCCAATGTTGGGTTGCTCCTATAACTTGATAAATTCTATAGAAAATTTCTAAAATGTCACAAGCAAGAGGAGATTCCAGATTATAAAAGAAACAACAATCTCAAGCCGCAATCCCAAATTTCATTTCAATTTCTAGAGAGGAATTACAAGGGTAAGCAAAAAAAAAATACAAAATCATACCTGAAAACTTACTCAAGGAAACAAAGATCTCAACAATGGAATGACAAATTCTCTTTCTTGCCGACACCTCCTTAGGAGCCAGAACTCGCG